TGTAGAAGAGTCGCTGGCGTCATATGAAGCGGAGCAAGAACGAGACCGGTTTTCGTCCCTCGAAGAACTAAGGGCTCGCCTGCAAGGGGTGTCAGTGTCTCCGAAGTGAACTGTGATTCATAAAGAAGAGTGCTCCATGTTTTTGAACATTATCGACTATCGTGAACCTTGTTTGAATGCGTCATTGACCGTGTTTGCAAACCTTGAAGTCTTTGCCTGCTATCAAGGTTCACAAATCAAGAACCTTGGTAGCGCTGTTGTACCAGACTCAGTTCAAAAAGTAAGTTCCTTGTTGGAAATTTTGAACAACCTGTCGATGTTGTCTGAGGAGCGCTGCACTTATCGCCACCTGGCTCAAGCAATACATTCCCTTCTGGACAAATTGGAAGCCAGCATTGATGAAGGCAAGAAAGAGACGGTGAACTTTATGAACGAGCAGCTACTACTCCTTTCTGCAAAGCGCATTCAGTATAGCGCACAGGTGATGGTCTTTGCATGCATCTTGCGTACAATATCACCACATGCCTACAAGTTCCTGAGAAGCACAGGTGCACTAACTTTGCCCCACCCAAGCACTATTAGAAATGTGTGCTCGTCTATTCAAATGTGCCCACAAGTTGATTCTTCTGACGACGCTTTCCTTCAGTATGAGTCTCAGAGATTCAAACATCTGCAGGCACATGAACACACTGTGACGCTGTTGCTTGACGAGATTCATATCAAAGCTTGTTTAGATTACAAATGTGGGAACATATGTGGTGCAGCAGTTAACTCCAACGAAGCGGCCACATCGGTGCACGTGTTTATGATACAAAGTCTGCTGAGCGCATTCAAGGAGGTGGCGCACATTCTTCCGGTAAAAACCTTACAGGGTGAAGATCTTCATTGCATGCTGAAGAAGGTGATCTTGGGCTTAGAAGAAATTGGATACAGGGTCATAGCCGTTGTCTGTGACAATAACTCGCTGAACAGGAAGGCAATGAAGATGTTTCTGCCAGAACCAAAGCTAAGCCCTGTTTACCCGCATCCGGCAGACACAGATCGGCCGTTATTTTACGTGGTGGATGCTGTACATTTATTTAAATGAATAAGAAATAACTGGCTCAACCAGAAAAATGCTGGAACTTGCTTTTTCTACCCACGCTTCGAGCTTTCGAACAATGAAGTTCATCCCGAATGCAAGATGACTGCCTCATTTAAGCTTTTGAGAGATTTGCACAAAGAGGAGTCACCCCTGCTTCTGAAGTCTTGGTATGGCTTGACGTCAAAAGCTCTAAATCCAAGCAACTTTGAACGACAGGACGTCAAACTCGTACTGCAGGTTTTTAATCCGCACGTAGCCGAAGCCCTGGCCGCTCGCAAGGGTCATACTGATTTTCAACATGCTACAGCAACCGCCGAGTTCATCAAAATAATTCTCCGTTGGTGGAGCATTGTCAATGTAAAGACACCTAGTAAGGGCTTCCATCCCCGTAATGTTTACAAAGAGCCCATGTCAAACCACACAGATGACCCAAAGGCAAGCTTTCTAAGCGCTTTTATCACATGGCTCGATGTGTGGGAATTTTATAGGCACGACACCGGAGTACTTACCCAGGAGACATTGAGTGCCTTGAGGCTCTCTGCTCAATCCCTTTTGGCATTGGTGAAGTACGGTGTTAGTGAGCTTCACGCTAAGTATATTGTGCTAGGGAAAGTTCAGACGGATCCCCTCGAGAGTCACTTTGGACAGTACAGGCAGATGGCTGGTGGGCAGTATCACATATCAGTTCGCCAGCTTTGCGAAACCGAGGGAAGGATTCGCCTTCAAAATGCCCTTCCAAAGATGAGAAACGAAGAGACGGACAGTGTCAGGGATGCGGGCACTTCTTTTAGTGTTCATGTTAGCGATGCTGACCTTGATGAGCTCAGAGCACAAATGCCGGTGATTGGTTATGTTGGTGGGTATTGTGCACACGCTGCAATGAAAGTTCTCAAGTGTGAAAGCTGCCAGAGGCAGTTGGTCGTTACCGGAAATACGGCCGAAACATGAGAGGACACCCATTCTTCAATCGCACAACTGGATCGGGGTGGCCTCAAATTTCCTTCTGCTCTTGTAATCGCAGTAGTTATGTACACGGTGGTTGTAGTTAGAAAGCTCATGACGGAAAGTACCTCTACCCAGTTTCTCCATGGGCCGAACCAAAAGAATGTCGTTCGGCAACTTACACTGGACTCTCTGCCAAGGCTTGAGGACATAGATACGTGTGAAAACGGGCACACCTACGAGCTCCTCATCACATTGGTTGCAAACTGTGCAGCAAATAAAATGCTCAACAACTTGTGCAAGCAAAGGAACGATCTTTTACGCATTGAAAAAGATCAGAAGGCGAAAAATAGAAAGGCCCGAATTTTTCTTGGAAAGTAATTTTCCAAGCGTCGCGTCTTTCTCTTCACATTTATTCTTGTGAAACTGCACAGAGTGTATTTGATTGCCTGTCATGACTTGATTTCCTTGGTATACTTCTGCCTTATGTAAAATGAGCCTTGTTTCCAGTTTTGTATCTCTTTACAAGTTGTTAGCTTTTAAAAGTGCTGTACTTTTTTCTTTTTTTTAACTCGAACTGCCTCGGTGCCTACTGTAGCAGTTGTACAGTCCGTTTTGGTACCTAAGCTGTGTACACTTCCCTTGTGCACTCTGTGTACAGACATGTTGTGCACTGTGATTTGTTTTTTCTTAGATTTTTGTTTGATTTTTTCCCTAGGACATGCACCTACCTGTGGCAGTACAATTACTTTTCTTTCTGTCATTTGTCATGCTGTGGACCACAATTTAGTCACCAGTGTTCTTATGTATTGTATCTTTTGGCAAGTGTTTGAACCTGATACCTTGTGTTGCTACTGCTACTATGATAAACGAATGGTATGTTTTCCTCTAACCTACATTTTAAATGAAAGTGTGCTTTTTCTGTTCCAAAGCTCGGGGATGTTTTTGCTGTTACAATCTGTTTTGTTTTCTGAGTTTTATGTGGCAAGATATTGTGTTTTGTACTTTTGGCATATTTTCAGCATTAAGGGCAACATCTTGTGTTGCCTGTCGTCTGCCTGGATCGAGAACAATGTGCGCTGTGATATTTGTGCAGACGGCGTCTGGCTGTGATAAATAAATATGCATTATTCCATTCACGATATTCATTATTTCTTGATACCTTGATAAGTCCCCCCGCCGCGGTGGCTCAGTGGCTAAGGCGTAGCGCTGCTGAGCACTAGGGCGCGGTTTCGATACCCGGCTGCGGCGGCCGCATTTCTGATGGAGGCGAAAAGCAAAAACGCCCGTGTGTACGAGATTTCGGCACACAATAAAGATTCCCAGGTAGTCAAACTTGATCCTGAGCCCTCCCGTACGGCGCGCTTCATCGCCTGCGTTGCGTCGGCGCGTTAAACCATACAATCAATCGATACCTTGATAAATCGTGCGGACTTGGTGTCAAGGAACATCGCCTGAGTCGGTAGGCGTGAAGGGCGCGCGCGGCAAGCGCTCGCGGCTGGCGCAGCCACCCAGCGATGGGCGTCCAGCGCGATGTGACGTCGTCGACGTCACGTCACGTGACGCGCAGGCCTGAAAAGCTTCCGGGGGTGACGGTTGGAGGTAGAGGCTTCGCATTTCCTGCAGAAGTTCTTCACACATATTGGGTTCTCGCGTTTGTATTTGCTTCTCGAAGTCCGGACTTTGCGGGAATTGAGGCTAGCCCACTGCCTTTGCGCGGGCTTTGCTGCCTTTTCTGCCGTTCTCACGTCCCATCATGACGCCCCTGCTCCGCTATCTGCCGCGCTGGGAGAGCAAGAAGTGATGTTTAACCCCTCTCACCCGGTAGCGGATATCGACAGGGGCGCCGCGTGTGAAGTCTTCCCAGATTTTCTGCGCGCATGTGTCCGGAGTGGGAGAGACTTCTCTGGCGAGGACATGGGGGTAAGCACGCTTATCTGTTCCGTCTGTCAGCTTCCTTTGGGGCTCGTTCGGACTTCGCCAACAGCACCTTGCACCCGCGGCAAACGCTCACCTTATGTCGCCCCTCCACCCCCTTTGCTTACGCTCGGCCGAAGGGTGGTACAGTGTAGTAGTGCATGGCCAAGCTACGCCGACCCGTCTCTTTCCTAATCCAACGCGAGCGCCTTTGCCCTCGCTTGAACAACCGGGCCTTGGTCCCGGTGTCTCCGTCAATCACTTTTACCACAGAGACGTGCTCGTGGCACTTTGCGTAGTACTTTTCGCCCGTGGCGTGGATAAGCCCCTTTGCTTTTCCGCCGCACCATTGCAACGGGCTGTACTGACTTTGGGTGTTGCGACCTTGAACAGTGAAAGCGTTAAACGTCGCCACGGTGACTTTTAACGCGTGCCCTGCGGCTTGCTAAGACCGGACCCACGCTAGTGGCCGTACTCCTTCAGGATACATGTCATTACACTGGCACTTGACGCAGTATAAAAAGCTCTAAGCTTTTGATTGCTCTTAGCGAGTCAGTTCCGCTGGGCTATTCGGGCTCGTCGCAACATGTCTGCTTCACGGCATTTTTGTCCGCTGTCCTTGTTAGCGGATGTTCGTTGCACAAGGAGGCCATTGCCTCTATTGACGGGAACCCTTCGGCACCCATCCGTGCCGCCACCCCCTTGCAGTCAATACACGAGGTACCTAGCTGCTCCCTTTGGAGATGGCGCGTCGTTTCGAAATGAGCCTCTTGCCCTATCCAAATGGTACACGCAAGCGCCTCTGACTGCTAATGCGCCCTTCGGCATGCATTGAAGTTCGTCGGCACAGCGTTCGCAGTCGGTTCCCTGCGGAATTGACGTGGCGCAGGATTTGGCCTTCGCTGAATTTCGCCCGCCATCAGCCGTGCAACCGACACTTCGAACGCACGCTGAGCAGGCACCTGAATTGTCGATGGTAGCTGCACCAAGTACACACTTTGTTTGACAACAGGCCATTCCCACAAGAAGTGTTTTTTGCTCTGGGAGTGGCGCGCAGGGCAGTGGTTCATTTGAAACCGCCCCACTGATCGAGCTGGGTGACTGCTCACCTTCGCACGACCGCGCCGCTACCGCACCAATGATTTCCTGCGAAGCCGGTGTGAAGACGCAGACGTTGCTGCAGAATGCCGTGCAGATGATCCAAGCACTTTTGGGAGCTGTGCAAACGCTTTTGGCTGGTCCAAAAAGCGGTCACCCCGCTGTTATGTTGCCTTTGCCAACGTGCAGCGGATATGGTGATCTGCCCACTGTGCGAGATTACCTCGACTCTCTGTCCCGGTACTAGAAAGCATTTGCTTTGGATGATCAGGTGGTGCTTGAACGTGTTGTTCTAGTTGCACTGACTGATACGGCGGCGAGATGGTATCGGGTTACCGGTTACCATGCAGCAACCCTCGAGGAGTTTCGCGCGGGATTTTTGCGCGAATTCCTACCCGCTGACTACGAAAGTAGGATGGGGCGAGAGCTGGAGCTCCGTACACAAGATCCTGAGGAGTCTTTACAGGAGTATGTACGTGCGATGGATGAACTTATTTCTATCGCTGAGCCCCGAGCCTCGTACGAGGAGCGCGTCGAATGAGTGACACCACAGCAGGCACGTTCGACTTTTTCCCCATATCTGCGCGGTGGCAGCTTCCGTGACTTGGAGGAGTTGGCCGCCGAGGTGAAGCGCATTCAAGGCGACCTTCTCGCCGCGCGTGCCTATCGCCCGCCCCCGCCAGCCAGCGATGCCCTTGAGCTGTGCTGCGCTTGGAGAGGGGCCATGACCCTTCCCTAACCGCAGCAGCCTGTCGGCGCCGCCTTTGCGGCTGCAACCGGCTGTGCGTGGTAGTTGAGCAATCGCGCTCTTGATACCTTTACCATGAAAGGCGGGCAGCCTGCGCTGCTCCACCTGAAACCCTCCACACAGGAACGCTTTCCGACCCAAAGTAATGTGGGAGGTAAAGCTCGCAGAAACGTATCCTGCGATAACGTAGCAAGCTGATCACGACAGCTAGAGGCTGCTCCGTCTGGGAAAACAGACTGTGATACAAAGGGTTTCCGGACCCACGCTAGTGGCCATACTTCTTCGGGATACGCGTCACTACAGCTTAAACCATAGATGATAAGCGGAACCACAGACCTCTCCGGCAAAGATGAGTCCGCCAGCTATAGCAAGTGCCTTTTCTCATAAAAAAAAACCTGAGTGCAGATCCAGACCTGTGTTTGAATATGATTGCTTAATCCCAGAGCAACACCTTGTTCTCGCTGAAGGAGCTCAAAAAGCTTGCTTTCCACTCTATTCAAAGTTTGTTGCTGTGAGCGTTGACAGGCCATTATTACCAACTCTTGGCTACGCCCGATAAGAATAATCGCATGTTTTTCACTTTATCTTCGTCGCTGTGCCAATAGTTTTCATTTCATGCATACTCGTTACTAACGTGAGCCAGGACTCGGGACTACTCTCCGTCAAACATGTCTGACTTCACGTGGTCGCGACTCGGTCTGCTTAATCTTTTCGCCGCGTTTACAAGCAAGCGCAATAAATCATTTCGCTGCCGATTCTGTTCTTGGTGCAGATCGCAGAGCAGCATGGCGTTCTCAAAAGGGTTGGTTACACCAACGATGACGGCGTGCTGGAGTTTACGACCATTGGAAACGTCTTTATGTATCACCCCAGGAGGGATGAGTCTTCAGAGAGGGGGAGTATACCTGGACGTTAGGCAGGGTTGAAGGGTGACGAAGACCCTGTCTAGTGCAATTGTGTAGTATTACATCTTTTAACGGGCCTAGGCTAAAAGACTCCATATTTCTCAAGCACAAAGCCAGGCACTCACCCCATCACGTGCGGTTGTAGTACGCTGCGTTGATACCACTGAATTCTTGGGCTAGGGCTTTCGGTTGACCTCCGGTTCCTGTCACTCTCCGTCGTCGAGTCTTATCTCAACGCTGCCCTCCAGTTGTTGCCACCAGCCTTTGGAGCACCGGAGATCCGGGATGAAGTTGTTAAGGCAGGAGAAAGTTGACTTAATAGAGAGGATTTATTTACAATATGTACATTGCGAGCTCTCTCTAACATGGCGAGCTCTCAAACGTGACGCTCCACTACATGGCTCTCCTCGAATGAGCAGGGTGGCTCACTATAAAGGCTATGTTCTCCCCAGATCCTTAGATCAGGGAACACGCGCAGATGGCACTTACCAATCACAGATCAGACACTAACGGCGAGGGTGACGAGCAAGCATGGCCCACGTGAATGTTCAATATTGAGGCGTGATCCCTTTACTCTATGGGGCACAAGCGGGGCTCTTCCTTGTCGTGCGTGGCCACTGGTCGTAGGGTCCCAAGCTCACGACAGCACACATCAAAGGGTCCGCCGATCTGCTCGCTCAATTTGCGGGGCGACTTGTGGCTGCCCCCACGGTCTCTACCAAAGAAGATTCTGCACTTGTTGTCATCTTCCAAACGGCTTACGGCGTCGTGGCGACACGACACCTAACCCTCCAGCTAGGAGGGAGAATACCTGGCGGATATAGGCAGCCGGCTGTCTGGCGACTTGTTTGAGGATCAAAAGAGCACCACTACCTCGTCCGCTCAGGCACTAGTCGCCACAAGGTGCATTCTGATCGCGCTCAGATTTTTAAAAATTTGAGCACTGTTCTCACCAATGATCTATTTTACTATTTGGACCGTTATAGCCGCTTTCTTCACCATACCTGCACACACACACACACACACACAAATATATATATATATATATATATATATATATATATATATATATATATATATATATATATATATATATATATATATATATATATATATATGTATATATATATATTTCATTACATGAATGTTTCTGCTAAAAAAATCACCGCCCAATACCGGCGATAGAGGAAACGTGAGGCCTCGGTGTTCAGCAGTCGGGGGTCAACTCAACGTAAAACTGAAGCCCTTTCACAACTATTTGTTACATGTTTGTACTTCTTGATGTGGTTCGACCCACGTTAGGCTTGGGGGCTTATCACAGTGCTTATTTACACACCGCACATCGTGCCTAGCCAGATCATGGTCGTGGAGTAGCGTCATGACCGGTTAAATGCGTTTCACAATGCGTTATTCACAGCGTTATTCTCAAAAAACAGGTAGTCACAGACGTCGCAGTCGAGCCCAAAGTACCACTAGAGAAACTTGCGCTTAAAGCGGGCGTTCGCCCCTGCAAACCCGCTTTCGTAATCATCAAGTTGAAGCCGCAACGACGTCTCTAGCGTTTGACATCGCGAGCTAGCTCGGCGGTGTGTTTCGCAGGGTCACGGCCGGGCTAGAGGAGTGGCTCCACCGACCCGGCCATGGCAGCATCAGCCTGCCACCGGTGCTTGCATTCGATTTCGCAATTTGACATGGCTTCAAAGGCTGCCGGATCATCGGTATGCAAATGTTGACAGCACTCGGTTTTCTGGGCCTCTTTTTGTGCCCCGACTGCACAACAGTCCGGCGAATGCGAACTTTTTCACGTATGCAACTTCGGTGCTCTTTTTAAGGGAGGGGGGGGGGACTTCGCAACTTCCAGGTACCGTGGCGCTACGGAGCGGTGGCGGCCGGAAGCTTTGCTAACATGATTGATGTTTTTAACCTGCTTGAAAGAGCAGACGGTGCTGCTTATTTTCACGTGATTGTCGTCGTTTCACAACGTTGTGAATGGTCTCAGTATTAGCGTAACTTTTTGGAGTTTCTTAAGTTGAAGGAAAAATAGAAAGTAAAAGCTGACTGATTTCACTGCAAGCCTCGATGCTCACAGCCTGTATGCACGAGAAGGAAATTTAAGCGTTCCAGTCAAATTAGAGTCTTAAAAGCCATCAGGTGTTGAGAGGGTTGAATTTAGCAGGCAAATAACCAAGGCCCATCATTGTATGCCGCACCTATTTTCCGCACGAGTGCAGCAACTTCCAGGTTTGCAGTTCTGGCACTTAGTTCGTCTGCTCGATACGATCAGTGTGCAAACAGTACCAGAACTAAGTTAGAAATGCGTTCTGCTTGTGAAACAGAATGAAAGCGCCGGTTTGAAACGTTCATTGCATCATGACACATCTGAGGCGTCTGCGAAGTGCTTCCATGACCTTCACATTTGCAGGAATTTGTGCAGTGTTGCGCGTAATTACTACAACCAGCAATGTGAAGGGCGTACGTGTGGGTCTTATTTACAATGTCGCGCATATTTCTCTTCCGAATATGCTACCCGTCGTTTATATGCCTAATAGAGTATGCTAGCACTCCCCTACTTTCTCAAAAACATCCATCTGAGGGCCACCGAAGTACGAGGAGTCTTTACCAAACGTATACTTTCATGTATTGCTTCTTTCAGGGCAATCATCTCAACGACTGCCATCTTGGATTTAAGTGCCAACCACTGGCCCGCGTATGCACGCGCCTACGCGTCAAAAGCGTCGGCCTATTCGCGCCTGTAGAGGAAAAAGGCGCGCAACCACTGGCACGCGTCAACCGTTTTGACGCCCACGCGTTCAAGGCCGATGCACAATGTTGCCTAATTTTTTGGCTTAGAACTGTCCAAGTTCAGCACAGAACGGCACGTTCTCAACTGGAGCGGGTTTGCATGCTTTAGAGAATATGAGAACACGTTAAAAATTGATAGTGCTTCACTTACCAAAGTTTAGACTATTTTAGAAGGGAATCCCATTGCCCAAAGTAACTACAGCGTAATGCACCAGAAATCAACATCGCTGCGTGCGCCAATCCCGTGAATGAAAATTCGCGTCTAGGATACTGTACGTCTATCACAGGCGTGTGCAGGGTTCTCTTTAAGGTGAGGGGGGCAAAAGTTCATCGCAGTGCTTCCTCCCCCTTCCGATTATGTCATTGTAAGGGCTGACTTTGCGCCCCCTCCCTATTATAATAATATTGTTACGTGAGTAACGAGACAAAGTATTGCGAATATATTCGAAAAATATATTTGCAAGAGCGGTTGCAGCACTGGCCAGTCTGGCTCCGAGCTCGAGCAGCCAGCGAGCCTCTTCTTCTTCGTCGGGCGCACACGCGCATTCGCACTATGGTTTGTGGCAGCCTACAGGTAGCATAACCCCCGTCGGCAAAGGCGCCGTCTCGGCGCATCTAGATGTCAAGATCATTGGGCGAGTGGTACTGCTTCAGGCGTGCGACGTGTACGATGTCGCTGGCCCTAGGGGTGGATGAAGACGGCGAGGCAGCAGGAGTGATTTCATAAGTGACGGGAGTCACCTCACGAAGCACTCTGTAGGGCCCTGTGTACCGAGAGAGCAGCTTGTCAGA